AATATGCTCGTTCACTCAAGAGAAATAATAAAAATAGTAAAGAAAACATATTCAAAAATACATCACGTGAGATTAGGGTTGGGCACGGGAGTCAAACCCGACGGGTTTTGATCCGATCCGACCTGATCGGATCGTATTTTTTTAAATAAAATTCGGGTTCGAGTTTAGGGTGAAAAATATCTGACCCGGTCTTACCTGAAAAAAAATATATAATTTTATCTTATATGTTTATGAATAATTACAATAATACCCCTATATATATATATATATATATATATATATTTTCAATTAAATCATTATTTTTATTGAATAAAAATAATATTTTATTATTATTTCGAATCAGATCAGGTCGAATTTCTATGTTATATGTCGGGGCGGATTCGGGTTAGATAAAATTTTATTTTAATCGAATTGTTCTTAAATCAATTCGAGTAGACAAAAAACCTGACCCTACACATACTCATCCCTACGTGAGATGGAGAAAATAAAACAAAAGACAGTTTGTTGGATGAGAATAAAAGACGAGAGATATTTTTTTGCTTGTCCAAAACGAATACATTGCTCCTAGACAACATGATAGAATAAATTAAATGACGATAATGACGTTTGGATAAGTCTATTTTTTCCTCTCGGCTACTTCCAGGAAGGAAGGGAGCAAGCCGAGTGTTTTCTTTAATAACCATATCATTAAAACAACATTAACACCGAACAATAATATATAAACATATTCCATTTATACCAATAAATATGGTTTTTAAAATCGGACCGGTCAATGAATTGATTATGCTATCGGTTCACTGGTTCAACTGATTAGATCGGTCGTAAGAACCGGACGACGTCATAATTATTTAAAAAATTAAATAAAAATACCAAAAAAATTTAATAACAAATCAAAAAAAATTAGGTTGAACCGATTCACGGTTCGATCCAATTCAAGCGGTTCAAAGTCGATTCGAACGATTCTTTACGGTTTACTAGAACCGATTCAATCGGAATAAAATGGATAGGACTAAACAACGGTTTCCGCTTGAACCGGCCGATTCGATCCGATTTTCAAAACAATGCCAATAAATAATATATCTTTATTCATGTGCCTTTTGAAAAAAATCTACTTGGATTGCACTTTGAGATTTTGAGTTTTCTTATTATACTTTTCAAATCAATTTACTTTTAATTGGATCTTGGCTGCTTTATTAGTTTTAAAATATTGCGAAATTGAAGCGCTCCGACAGCAACCACGATGGCATGGCTGACAATGGAGACGCAAGAACGACAACAACTACCGTGGCCGACAAGGGATATTAGGGTTAGAGATTTGAGAATTTTCGAAAATATGTTTTTAAATATGATAATTATTTTAAAAAAAATCCAAAATTATCAGAGCATAACGTATGTCATTTAACAGAATTTTTTAACGACTGTTACGTTTTAGACACTTAAAATGGTAGCGTTTGTAACGTTAAATACCTGGATCATTCAAAAACTAGTTTAGGCACCTATTCATGAAAAAACGGTATATAGTTTGGTTAGTTCTTTTTATAATTAACCCTAGTATTTATGTATAGTTTAGTCACCTATTCATGAAAAATGATATATTTTTTACACTTATTCTGTGAGATCTCGAGTTTGAGCATCAGGAATACGAGTGGTGTGAATGTGAAATGATTGAGAAATATCTTTAAATAGATATTATCTTATATTACCTCGAATTAATTAAAAAATATATAACGTATGTGGTTGAAGCTTTTTATTTCTGTTCCAGTGGAAAATGATTAGAGTTGTGTGAAATATTATTTTTATACTTTTAGAATTTTAAAAATAAATAAATGAGATGTTTGCCGACATTTCGATATATCTTATAAATAAATAAAAAAACATTATAATAATATATGTCGTTTATTTATATTTCATGTAATCTTTTGTCGTTTTAGGCAACAGCCAGCAACGTCAAATTGACCAAGATGGGTCATTTATATGACTACCTGCTATCTCCCGATATTTTTAAAATTTTTAAAAGATATTTTTACATTAATTTTATAAAATATATCTTTAACGAAATTTGAAGTTTCAGGTACCATCTCGGTTATAGACTCGAACTAAAATAATCTATAAATTCTAAAATATGAATTAAATTGACTTGATTCAAAATTAATTTGAATTTATGATCTACCAACAACCCGTTGATCTATCCCGTAAGAAAAAACAACATATTAAATCATGAAGTTTGTGAATAGAGCAAATTGAGTTGAAAAAACCACTCTCGTATTTTTTTTAAAAAAAATCTGATCCGAAATAATTGATTAAATATCGACGGTTAAACGAAAAACTTGAATTTATGATCTAAACGTTATTGATAACTGAGCAGAAATTTAATTCTTAAAACCATAATGCCTGAACAAGACATGGTTATTTGCGTATAACACGGAAGATTAATGTGTGTAGGCCCAAACAAGTGTTTCCAATGCACATAATAATCTGCATTTGCATGCAGGGAGACGAATGATTGGGCTTAATGCTAATCAAAAGAATATTATAACAAGCTTATATTATTGACCAATCCAAGAACAGGTTTTGAAATGAAAAATTAAAACATATCCATTATCCATATAAGATAATCCAAAATAATTGATCTATCGAGCGGCGTCATATTTATACGTTATCAATGACTAAGAAAGATTTTGACCAGATATTATCTTGTAATTACTCAAAAGAAGAATAAACGAGTTTACGACTTTACCAACAAATCGTACTATTATATATTACAACCCTTTTCGCTATCGAGATAAAAACTGAAGTCGAAACACCGTAGAATTGATAAAATCGTAACGGATCATAACAACATTCCGTTATCTTAATAAGAGCTGTTAACGATTAAATAACTGATCTAGATACGATTTGATTTGATATTATATTTTCACGAGTTTTTTTTTCTCGGCACTATAGAGAAGATGTAGCACGCTACATGCATCGTGCATGCAGTTGTTTATCTTTGACAATTGGGATGTGAACGATAAAAATTACATTTGAACGACAGAAGCATGCATTCGATCGGTTTAGGTGTCATGAAAAGGGCTGAGCAAATTTTGAAACATTTTTATTACATTCCACCAGTTTAGGTGTCATGAAAAAGACAGCAGCTTTTAGATTTTTTTTTTGATAAATAAATTTAATAAAAATGTTATTAAAACCCAAAGGGTATAGTCATCTACAAGGTTAGTAAACAAAATCAAGGGTGCTGTTCATCAGTTTTTGGCATAACGACGCTATCACCTTCTCGAATGTAATCGACTTCCTAACTTAAATTTTAGGATAAACTACAAAAATAATTATAAAATTTTAGGGTGTTTGTATTTTAGTTACTGAACTTTTAAAATTTGTAATACAATTATTAAATTGGTTAAAATACATCAGAGGTCCTTGTACTTTTCAAAGAAAATCAATGTGATCATCGTATTATTTTCTCTCTCAATATGACTATCCAACTCAGAAAACAAATCTAATGTGGCACTTTGACTAACGTTTTTCGTCATTGACCGTTACAGTATTGGCGTGCCAGTTTATGGTGTTAACGTGGCGGTCCATCTATCGTGTTTGAGTTACCAATTTAGTTAATATGTCATGTCATCCGCCACGTTAATTGTCTCATTGGATTGTTATGTCAGTATCGTGGACTACCACGTCAGCACCGTGAACTGTCACATCAGCACCGTAATGGTCAACAATGAAAACACATTGGTCAAAGGGCCACATTCGATTTATTTTTTGAGTTAGACGGTCACGTCGAGAGAAAAAATAACACGAGAACCACATTGATTTTTTTCAAAAGTACAGGACATCTGATGCCTTTTTACCTTAAATTTTTAATTTGTTTTTGTTATCGTTTGAAAATGTTGACGTGACTTGTTAAACTCATATTCTTCCCTAAGTAATCTTAAGTTTCTTAGACTATTTGGTAGTCATCTGTAGGGACAGACGTATGATTTTATATTGGAGACGACCTTAAACTTAAGGAGATGAAATAAAATTTCAGGGCGCGAAAATAAATTTTTAATAAAAAAATACATAAAATAATTTTAAATATATAATAATTTTAAAATTTTAAGGTACGAGTGCTACACCACCCCCACGTGACTGCTACACCCCCACGTGGTTCCGCCACAAGCCAAAAACATTAATCCTTACCTTAACCGCTAGCCGCTAGCCGCCGCCCGCTCTTCTCCCTTCAATGAACCTGGCAAAGAGGATTTGTAAACTAAATAAAATAAATTTGTTCATAGGTTAATAGACTTGTTTAAACCTACGAATTTTGTTTTATCTTCTCGATTGTATAAAAAATCATTACTTACGACACTAGTTTAAATTAAATAAATAAGTTTCATTAAAAATGAACAATGCCTTGAATTTGACGCTTTGTCCGAAAGTTTTAAACACACCTGATTATTACATCTTATGAAGAAGAAAAAAAGTTGGGACGGTTTAAAATAGTATTTATAACCGATGATTTTGTGAAAGAAATAAAACACAATGAGTCAATGAATAATAAGTTCAGGGATTGAAAGAGATTTTTTTTTATTTAATTTTATTTAGTGAAATTAATTTTTAGAATTAGTTTCAGATTTAAGTTAATAATTTTTATTTTTAGATCAAAAGAGTGACTATATTTGATTATCATATAATATATCTTGCTAGTGATAAAATTGATAATGATTAAATTAAAAATTTTGGACGATAGGACGCAATTAATAAGAAATAATAAAATAATACAATATTTAAATAAAATAATTCAAAAACTATATGTTCTAAAATATGAATACTACAAATTGAATAAGATGAGAAATGTCAGCATGACCCGACCCGACTCATATAAATGTCTGCTAATTTGTCATTTTGCAGGGAGGTTGCTTCGTGGCAGCATCGTCGAATCTCCGCTGAAAAGTCATCAAATTCAATCTTATAAATACCCTTTCCACTCTCATCCAATATATTCAGCTTCAACTCAAAACGCAATCTTATTTGCTTCCTTCTCTGAAATTTGTAACTTTCAGTTCTCAGTTATGGAAACTAGCAGCGCGCTTCAATACATCGAACGATGTTTACTCGATGAATTTTATCCGCCGGAACTGGAGAGTTTTTCGCCTGAAAATCAATGGAAAGAGGCATCAAAACCCGAGGTTTCCACCTCTCAATCTCAGTCTTTCTACTCTCAAACTTCCAGCTCCGGTTCCTGTGTAACGGTATCCAATTTTAATTCCGTCGACGGTGATGATTTCTTTAACTTCTCTCCCAAATTCCCAGGCTTCGAATTTGAATCGAGACCTCAATCGGTCGATCTCACAACGCCTAAGCCCTTCTCTTCCAATGCCAATGCCTTTGGATTTCAAGTTAAACCTCAAATCGCTAAAATCTCCGCCGTGAAACCCCAAGCTTCTTCGAATTCGAGTTCCAATTCTCGGAATCGAAAACCGTCGCTGAAAATCTCGTTACCTCACAAAGTGGAGTGGATTCATTTCGGTAAACCGGATTTAACCAACGCGGTGCCAGAGAATTCAAATTCCGAAGAAAAAAACAAGCATTACAGAGGCGTCCGACAAAGGCCGTGGGGGAAGTTCGCAGCCGAAATCCGAGATCCGACCCGAAAAGGTGCACGGGTCTGGCTGGGAACCTTTGATACCGCCATAGAAGCTGCCAAGGCTTACGACAGAGCCGCTTTTAAGCTACGTGGATCGAAAGCGATTCTTAACTTCCCACTCGAAGCTGGGAGGTTGAATGTAACCGCCATCGACGGAGAGAAGAAACGGAGCAGAGACGAAGACGGCGCTGGGGAAGAAAGTCGAGTAAAGGCAGTGAAAAATGAAAACGACGACGTGACGAAAGCAAGAGATAACGGTGATGAGCCTTTGACGCCGTCAAACTGGGCGTCATTCTTGGATTTGGATAACGACGCGAAGGGGATTTTTAACATGCCACTGTTATCGCCGCTATCTCCACACCCGGCATTGGGCTTTCCCCTACTTATGGTCATCTAAATAATGCCGATAGTTGATAATGTACATAAATCGTTCCATTATCTATAATGCTTTCGTTGTTCATCTTAACTGCAATTTTCCTATTAAAAAAATAACTGCAATTTCAAATCTTATTAACCCATATAATAAGATAATATATACAGAAAAAAACTAGTCCTCGTTTATTTTCAGCGTGCAAATAAAATTTTAATTTTTTGGGTACATACATAACATTTTAATTTAATTATATACAAATTCTATTTATTTTCATATCAAACAATTATTTAAATTTTTTTTTATTATTTTATGTATTTTTAAAAATAAATTTCAAAGGCACTAAAGATAAGTTTGAATTGATATAATTATTTATTAAAATTTAATAATTTTATATTAAAGCGAGTACATTTGGTCGATTGAACAAACTGCTCTATTTGTTCTCTTCTATTCTCTTAAGTTATGTTTTCTATATTCACTATGAACACCCCTTCCTTCCCCTCCCCTCTAAATAAAATTATGAATAAGTTTAGAATTTGTCGAAAAAAATAATTTTATATTATTAAATACATTGAGAATAGATAATGATCTTATTGTATAAAATAGATAATTAAATTATTTATTTTCAATATACATAAAATAATTGTATGTGAAATTTGGTATAATAATTGTATATTAAATTTGAACAGGTTTTTTTAAAACCAATTTATAATTTGAATTTGAATTATTGAATTAATTAGCATACATATATTTGAATAGATTAGCACATATTTTAAATATGTTCTTAATAATACGTTGATAACAGTTAATAATTTATTTGTATAGAATGAATAATTAAATATTTTATTCTCAACATATATAATTATTGTATATTAAATTTGGTATGTTTTATAAATTTATATTGAAATTAACATATAAGCCTAATTTTAGTACATAAAATAACTATAAATTAAAATATTTAATTAAATAATTATTAATCTATCAAAATTAAAATTATCTTGTGTAATTAAAAACTAATCATTCTAATTGATTTATCATAATTGAATGTTGATAGTTTATAGGTTCGAATAGAGATATAAAGATTATTGATAGTTGGGTCTAGGTTCGAATAGAGGTAAGAAGATTATTGATAGTTGGGTCTAGGTTCGAATAGTGGCATATAGATTATTAATAGTTACATCTAGGCTCAGCAATGCAAGTAGTGAACTCAGCAGAAGAAAAAGAACAGAGAACGTGACGTGTCATCTTCTAAGTTCAAAGTTTCAACATTCAATAATAGAAGCTCTGCACGTTTCTTACTGTTGCACCACCTGATGCGGCTCCATGCGATGGGTATACCAAATTTTTTGCCTATCTCAACTTAATTTATATTTAAATAGTGTTTTTATAATAATATTTGAAATTTTTTAAAATTAATTTTACTACTTAAACATTAATTTAAATGAAATAGCTAACTTTATGAGTAGTTGGGTCAACTAAAATGGTGTATTTAAAAGAGGAGTGTCTATTTTGGATGTAAAAGTTAAATAATTAGTTATTTCATTTTAAGAAACAAGTAATAAAATCATGATAAGTAGTATCAGAGAGAGTTATTAATTATTTAAAAGTGTTTTTTTATAATTAACATCGTTCATTTAGACGCATCTATTCAGACTTCAAATATTATCGAGGAATAATAACATTCTCTTTAATTACTCAAGCGATTCAAGAAATATTAAGTCTAAAATTTATAAACGATATAATATTACATATTTTTAAGAATAAATTAATGACCTCGTTGGATCAACTCAAATGGTAGACTTAAAAGGAAAGTGTCTATTTTTGGGTGAAAGACTTGAACGTTTGAATAATGGGGTTATTTTCGTTTATACGTAGTTATTGTGTTGATTGAACCTTGTTAATTTAGTCAAACAAAAGGGTTTACCTGCATGCATGTGCATAATATATATATATCGAATAGTATCGACCTTTCTCGTCATTATTGCTCACGTTAGAGACAACAAATTAGGGTTTATTTCTCGACCTCTGTCCTCTACTGTTTTTTTATATATAAATATTTTATACGATGAAATTAATCGAAACCCTTCTTTGTTTCCAACCATCCATTTTGACTTCAAACCACAAATATTATAATTTGTAGGTTAATTATTGTATTTTCTACTAATTAAATATTTATATTGCAATCGCCTGGTTTGAAGTCAAAAATTACAATTTGACGGCGCTAGTGAGCTAGGCACGGGTTCAAAAAATGATAAATTTATTGCTTAGGTATTTTAAATATTGTAGAGTTTTGTCTATATGACACGTTTTTTTATATTTATGATATTTTTTTGTCTTTGGATATATTTTTCGATCGTTTGACTTATTTTTTATTTATATTTTTTAAGGATTGATTTGATATCGTCGTGATCTTATCATATATCTTGTTGATCTTTCATTCTTTGGATTCTAAGATTGAATTTGGATACTTGATTTGCGTTTGCGTTCGTGGATAACTTTTTACGTCGCTCGAGTCTAAATTGTGGTTTGTCGGTGGTCTTTCAATAACTTAATCATCTTTTGTGGTTCGTTTACAAATACGATCAGATTTGTTTGTATCTATCTTGGTTTGAGTTTCTTGATTAGATTTTTAGTCTTTCCTTGTATGGTCCTTATGTAATAATTTTATTTCAATGATTATAGAAAATTTCTTAATTATGTGTTTAATTTATTATTATGATTGTAAATCTTTATCTAAATAAAATCATTTCCTTCTATAAAAAATAATGTAACTTTTTGAACTAGTGTAACATTAAAATTACACTTCAATATTAAAAGTAGACTCTCTCTCTCTCTCTCTCTATATATATATATATATATATATATATATATATATAGTCTAAGTACTTCAAAACAAAAAAGTCGTCATAGTAATTATGAAGTGTGATTGTCTTTTCAATTGTCATTGAAGAAAAGCTCTTAGTCCATCGTTTTGAATACAAAAACGATTTTATAATATGAAGGGTAAACTAGGTAAACCAATTTTTACACTTAACTTTGTTTTTATTTTTATTTTAGTCGTTTAATTTTTTAAAAATAATTTTATCAAACTTTCAAGTTTCTCATTTTGATTACTTAATCGTTAAATTTATAATGCGGTTTAATTTTTTTTATGTATAAATTTACGTAAAAAACACATTTAAATCAAACAATGAATATTGCATATCATATATACCAAGATGATTACGTTATTTCAGAAAGGGCGATGCAATTTAACTGGAATAATGAGCACCGGCTTTGAAAATTTACAAGAAAAATCACGTCATGGCTACTTATTGTTGTGTTAGTCAAAGATGATGGTATCCATTGTATATGATATGAAAACATAAATAAAACATTACTATATTAAAGTCTTAAATGATGTATACGATTGACAGTATATGAAAAAGAATATCTTTATATCATTTTATTTGAAGTGAAATTTGAAATCAATCAAACTAGCAGAAACGAAAGATGCCGGGCGTGGAAAAATACAACACGAGAAACTAAGTGTCTTGATTTAAATGTTTGAAGTTGGATGAACCAATTAAGTACTGTAGGGTAAGAGAAAATGATGAAGTAATCAGCTATTGTTTGAACGGGTTAGTCAAACTCTTTATTAGACTTTAGCTTTACTAAAAGAGAAGAGGCAAATATTATTTTAATATAGGTGTCGGGATCTTCATGGGGTTTATAGTTTTATGACTATTTTGACTGTTATTTTGGCATTTGAATTCTAACGGCGTCTGCCGGATGTCACGAGTCATGTGTTCTGGGCTCCAATTTCTCATTAACGCTGATTTGGGCTATTGTAGTCCATTATTATATTTACTTAGCTACGTGGACTAACCCTTGAAAGGAAAGGAGGGCCCCTAGTCCGATGAAAAGGATTACTACTGAGTTGGGTATGACGAGTCACTTAACCGCCTCTCCATTGGCTTGACATGGAATAAAACTAAAGCTTAGGTCATACAATCAGCCAAATAACTCGAAAGGAGGATGTCTTTCTCAATGATTGTCAGTAAGCTATTAGGGAGAGTAGTGTTGCTTTTAGAAATAGTAAAAGGTAGTGTGTAGTATGTAGTGGCGATGAGTGTTGCTTTTAGAAATAGTATAAGGTAATGGTTGAAAAGGAGGGTAGAACGGCAATGTGTTTGAGTAGACCAGACGAGGGTTGATTAGTGAGACTCGATTTAAATGCGGGTTTTGGTTAAGTGAGTGCTGGGGAGTTTTGAGTGAGAAAAATCGGGGATGAGGGTGACATCACTGAGGGTAATCGTCTGTCCACCAGAGTTATGCCCCGTCAACCTGTCCGTTACGGTTTAATATCGAGCTACTAAAATGAAACAAAAACTAAATGTTAGGTATGATTTTGAAAAAATTAAGAATTTACGTATTAAAATGGACAAAAACTGAAGTTTAGTTACTAAATACATAATTTACCCTAAATAATTTTAGTGACTAAAATAGAAACGAGAAAAAAGTTCAATGATAAATTTTTAATTTATTGATTGAAAAAAGTTTAATGATAAAATTTTAAATTATCCATATTTAATTTACCGATTCTGAATAATTTTATTTAAAAATTAGAAGAAAAACACTGTTTTAATAATATTGTAATATTATATAAGAGTTATATTCTTCTCATGGCGAAAATAAGCTAAAGCAAATGTATATATGCCAAAGATGCATATAAATTCAATAATATTATCATCATCTCAAAGTCACCACCCTCGTCTCTTTGTAAACAACGAATTTTCTTTGCTACGCAAATACTGGTGAAGGAGTTACAGAAGCCATGTTTTTGGCTCCACTCGATTACAAAGCATCTTGTTTCATTGGCCTTAAGTTCTATATATACCCATCGCATTTCTTGTTTTATCAAACATAGCTCCCTCGCTCTCAATCCTCTTGCTTCCTTGTTCGCGTGGTTTCATGTCATCCTACCGGGGTTTTTTTCCTCCCTTTTCAAAAGACGAGTTTTTATTTTAGAAGTGAAATGATCATATGGAATGTTGTTTTGTTTGCGGATAATCAATATTTGATTTTGAGAGTTGGGAGCTGAGAAAACAGAAACT